TCTCCACTACTACTTGTAACAAGAATGTGTTCTGCCACATGAAGGCAAGTAGGAAGCAGCCGCGGTGGGGCCTCCATACTGTGCAGTGCTGCTGTTGATGTTTCTGACACCAACACTGGGTTTGGTTCCTCTTTCCACCTTTCCTGCTGATACCCCTCAGCTTTTCTGTTTCTGTGCTCTGTTAACAAACTCTCCTGATTTTCCAGGGAATGGTCTGTTCATGGCTTTTACTCAGAGCCCAGGTTCATTGTGTTCTCTCTGCTAACCTGCTTTGGGACCACCTAAAAGGATTTGATTCACTTCTTTGCAGGTTCAGGTATCCCACTGAGCAGAGCCAATCATGAGACCACTCTGTTGGCTACTGGCCAGTCCTTGAAGACGGTACTATGTCAAATGTTGGCCCAGGGCAGCACCATGATCTAGAAAGACAGAGAGGCAGCCTGTGCATGTGTGATAGGTCCCAGAAGAGACAGGTCAGTATGTAAGTCTACAGCAAGCTGAACCTCGGAAGAGCCCATGGATCCTTCTGTTTAGTTATGGAGGCTTTACAGAAAGACAAGGTTGAACCTGCTGCTCATTGACCATGCGATCTGAGGAAATTATTTGATCTTCCCAAGGAATACTCTTTTCTTCTGTTAAATGGGCATAATGATCATACCTACTTTAGTTTATATAATTGGATAAGATAGTGTCTACAGAGTCCTGAGCACAGAGCATGTGCAGGCTAATGCCTAATACATCCATCACTTGGTAATGTTAATGAACTGAGCTTATAGCTTAGACTGGGCAGAATCACAGCAACTTCCTTGTGATCAGAGTAGCAAGTGATTCAACTACATTGTAAAGGGAGCAGTCACTGAAATCCAAGTTCCACATATACTGACCTGTGGGGCTACTGAGAAAGTCATATGCATTTTTAAGAAGCCAACAGTAACTATCTTAGAGAGTTAGAACAGGTGAACCTGCACCAAGTTCTTATCACAGAGCCAGGTCTGGCCATTGTACAGACAGCTACAGCCCTGTGGATGAGAGGAGCTAGGTTGGTATCTAAAAATGAACTTTTTTATCCATGACCTTCATTGTTGAAAACAACAGAGAGTTGAGTGTGTTTTTATTTCTACCCACTCAGAACATTTTTTTTTTAAATGAAGAAAACTGAGAAGGAAAAAAGCTTTACATTTCCAAACACAACATAAAGTTAAGTGGGGTTTCTTACACTTGGTGTGTGGTCATGGGGGATGACTGATCAGTTCCCAGTTACAGGCCCAGCCTCTGGGAGCCACAGACAAGTTTAAACTGACAACCTAAATAATGGCTGTTCTGAAACTTCTGATAGCTTTGTGGCTAGCATGAATGTATAAATCCTCCATTTTGATATTACTTTCAGCTCCTGAGATGTTTATACACAATATGACAGCCACTCAATGTACTTCCATCTAGAGAATCAGATAACTAATCTTTAAGAGGAAACATAGATGTTGTTTCAAAGGCATATTAACAAATGGCAAAATAGCGAAACCAAAGAAATCTCACTTTTTGACAGCCTGATGGAGCGATGGATTTTTGTGGAGTTTTCCCTTTCTGCCATTGAATGGGCCTGGCCTGGTTCAAACCTGGTTCCAGCTGTTCTATGTCTGCTGTTTGTCCATACAGCTGTCGGTATCTGCTTTTGGAAGGAGGATGAGGATCCAAAGCTGCCACAGGCCCTGTGTAGCTGCTAACCCTGGGTCACACTCTCTGCTGGGCACTCACCATGCACTTGCCCTTCACTCCCTACAGAACTCTAGGAAAGGATTTACATGACCAACATTTCACAGGGAGGAAACTAAGACTTCAGGGGTGAAAGTCTCAAATCCACAGATCTGGAAAATGGCAAAACCAGAATTAACATTTAGAGCTCTGTGTGTGTGTGTGTGTGTGTGTGTGTGTGTATGCAGCAAACATGTTTAATGAGCAGCTGGCCCAGCCCTGTTGACAAGCAGTGCCCCAGAAGGCAAACACGAACCTGCTACACTAAGCCCACTCAATACACCAATAGTTTTGGTGGACGCCCCCATATATCCTGAGAGCTTCCTCTTTTATTTTCTGGAATGTCTCTAGCTGCAGGGTATTCCGCCTATCTGTAGGTCAAAAAGCCACCAGTACTGGGAATTAGCACCCCAGGAACAACCCCTAATCCTTGAGGGTCTAGGGAGAGTGGTATGAATAGCGCAGCTTATTTGTCTCCTAGGAAGGGAGACTTTTAATGTGCAAATATGGTGTATAAAGTCACTTAGAGGGTCCCAAACAGAATAGAGCTCTAATTATTGCCCCAAGCCACCACAACCTACACATTAGCATTTCCTTTATTGCCCCCCACCCCCACCCTGGTGTCTCAGGAAGGCCAGGGTGTTTCCCTGGACTAGCCACTCAAAGACAAGAAGTTATTGATTGTCTGCTGCTCATCAAAAATGATGGGGGTGGGATCAGTGGTAGAGTGCTTGCCTAGCATGCATAAGGGTCCAGGTTCACACCCTAGAAATGAAAAGAAAACACACAAAGCACAGACACACAAAGGAGGCTTGGCCACAGTTGGCCATATCACCATTGGGAGACAGCTGTGGAACTCCAGGTAGTAATGATAATGGCTCAGTTCCTGTCAGTAGCAGTGGGGTGATATGAAGTAGGTGATTCTGGATTTATTCTGAAAGCAGTATTCAGAGGATGTGCTGACAAGCTGAATGTCAGGTATTAGACAGAGACACAAGTCAAGGTTATCAAAGTGGGATCCTTGTTCTTTTCTGTGAGCAAGTGCAAGAAGTTGTTCTTTACTTTGATTGGAAGATGACAGCAAGAGGTGTGGGAAGGGGAGGTCTTTAGGGTTTAGCTTTTGGCATGGAAGTTTCAGATGAGGAGCAGAGAGCTTGGAAACAAACTGGAGCTCAGGGGAGGTCTAGGATGGAGATGCAAATATAGGAGAGAAAGCAAACATGTATGAGAATTCCTAATCCCTAGGAAAGTGAGAGCTGATGGAGGAAACAGACAGTATGGAGCCACACAAATTCATCGTCCAACACCACATAGGATGCTTGCAAAGGAAACCACAAGGAGCAACTTTAGGGAACACAGAGATGTTGCAGGCCCTGCCCTGCTGTGGCTCACAGTCTACAAGAGGAGGTTTGGCTATGCGGAGACAGAATATAAAGTGTGGTATGAGAAGTGTAGAAAGTACCCTCACAGAATGAGAGTGGGCAGTCACCCAAGGCAAGGGAGAATGATGGAAGCTCCAAGAAACAGGAGGCACCAAGAACCAAGGGCCTGTAGCTCTGAGCCACATGAGTCCCTGGATGGTGATAAATGTGGTGAAGCACATTTATAGATGATGACATGTTACAATGGTGAAAGGTTGGATATCCCTGAGTCTAGACAATGAAAGTATAATTTTTGACTTAGAAGTACTAGGACAGTGTACAAAAAGAAAACAAGTGGTCAAGTACTCAGGAAGCTACCCAGGGTACATGGTAATAGCAAGACATAATCGTGGGAAGGAAGGTTGGGGGCGAAAGCACGAAGGAAAGAGAATGTAAAAGGAATTTGTCTAAGGGCAGTGGGGAGCCATAGAAGTCAGTAGTGGCCATTGTTGGAACTGTCCCATAGAGCCAGATGTTCCTGAGCATGGCAGGTCAAGAGAAGGAAGACTGTGAGGATGGTGTCCTGGAGAGCTTCAGTTGTCAACTTGACACACCTGGGAAGAGGGAACCTCAACTGAGAAATGGCCTCCATCAGATTGACCTGCAGGTCTGTCTGTGGGGCATTTTCTTAATAGCTAATTGATGTAGGAGGACCCAGCTCTCTGTGGACAGGTGGGACTGGGCTGCATAAGAGAAGTAGCTGAGCAAGGCAGCAGTGTTGAGTGATGTGGGAGGGCCTGACCCACTGTGGGCAGTGCCACCCTGGGCAGGTGGTCCTGTGTTGTTTAAGAAAGCAGGCTGAGCACAGGCCAGAGGAGCAGTCAGTAAGCAGTGTTCATGATCTGTGATCCAAGTTCCTTCCCTGAGTTCCTACCTTGGTTTCCCTTGATGATGGACTGTGCTGTAAGCCAAATAACCCCTTTCCTTCCCAAGTTGATTTTAGTCAGTGTTTTATTGCAGGAATAGAAACCAAACTAGGACAGTCAATGAGGAGTCAAAGGGAACAAGGCGGAGAACATGGTGGTTAGAGAGATATGGAGGGACAAATGTTTTTTGACAACAGGTTCTGAAATGTTAAATGTGGATATTTGACCAGTGTTGGGACTTGGCGGAGAAACCAGAGAAGAGATGCTTAGAGGAGGCATAAGGTTTGTGGAAGAGTGATCACCGGAACATTGTCTATTATAGAAAAAAGGCTGAGAAACCACATAAAGGTCCATCAATAAGAAACTGATTAAATAAACCGTGATGTAGTCATACAGCGGAATGCTCTTCAGCGATTAAAAAAGATGATGTATGTCTGCACTCATCGGCATGAAAGGAGCACACAATTTATTGCTGAGTAAAAAAGACAAGCTATGAAACAGCTTTCATCGTGTAATGCCATTTATCAAAATAATATCCTTAAAATATCATTCATATATATATATATATACATACATATATATATATACGTCTAAGGAGACCTTTGGAATTGCACTTGCCAAATGTTGATAAGGACTTTCACTAGGTGAGAGGGTCCAATGGAATGTTGCTTATTGGTCTGGGGAGGGGATGATTCCTTTTCACATCTTTCCAGATGCCATGGATTTTGGACCATGAGCTTCTAAAAGTTTGAACATGAGATGATACAAATTTCCAAAAAGAAGTCAAACAGTTCTGTCTTGAATTCTTGCAAGGCAACTGTGGAATCCAGTATTGAGTATGACCAGATGTTGACCTGCAATTGTCCTCATCTGAAAATCAGGGAGAAAGCAAGAAAGTAGTCTGGCATGAAGAGAAGAGAGAGAAGATGTCCTAATGGTCTAATAACCTTGTCTCTTCTTCCAGAGTCTTCCTGAGAGCTATTAACAAGTTTGCAGAAACCATGAACCAGAAGTTTCTAGAGCACACAAGCTTTGAATTCCAGGTGAGTGTGAGGTATTGGAGTTGCCCAGAGCTGTTCTGGCACCTTGGGGCTGATTGCTCCATCACCCAACCCCACACATACACAGGAGCCTGTGAGTATCTCTGGAGAGGTGTACAGGCGAGTAGGGATGCAGAGAGGCATTCTGAAGGTTTGGCTGAGCCACATATGTGAATGTGACCTCCTCCCAAAGAATCTTGTGCTTTCAGAAGAGAGTTGATTTTACTCACTGTCAGCAGAGTAGGTGTTACCACTCAAAAACATACTGCATTTTCTTACTTTTCTGTATCAGTGGTACCTAGAGCGGCCAGTCACAGACACTGAAATCCAATTTACATTAAAGTTGGTAACACATTTTTGTGGTTTCCCAATTCCTCCAAAAGTCGTGTGTGTGTGTGTGTGTGTGTGTGTGTGTGTGTGTGTGTCTGCCTGCCTGCCTGCCTGTCTGCCTGCCTGTCTGTCTGTTCAGCCAAAACGCAGGGCCTCTGAGACATTCAGGAACCATAGAAATGTCCCTGGGGTAGGTAGAGTAAGGTACCTGCTTCAGATCCAGGAAGAACAACTCTTCAAAGTCTGGTGAGAAAGTCTGTATTGCTGCCTATGTCTGTGTATGAAAGAGGAGAGCTCTTCAGGGAGAACCCCTCCAGAGATGTTTACAACGCTCAGGATCTCCGGTAGCAGGGGCTGAGGAAAGGGAAGTCACCTAGCCCAGAAACCTAAAGCTGTACTATTTTCTGCCTGTTCATCTGAAATGCACAGTTCCCAGCAGTTTGACCTCTCGGCAGCTAAGCAGCTCAGGCAAGGCCTGGAGGGCATAGTGCCTGGGCAGTGTGTCTGTAAAATTAGGAGGCTTTCCTAATTTTCCTAATGCCCCAGGAACATGTCAAAGGGGCTTGAAGGGAAAGTTGACCAATAAGCTGCTGTTCAAATATTTCCTCCTTAGAGAGCCCCCCTCTGTCTGGTTCCTCTCTGAGGTTCCCCCAGTGACTCCATATGGGGTCATGAGGTCACCACCAAGTCTGTGGAAGGCTCTTCGTAGCACTAATTGTCATTTGAAATAATCACTTTCTTTATTATCATGTGTGTTTTCTGTCTTTCACACAACTGCACAAAAACAAAAGCCTAGTGCTCACAGCCACTCTGTGCTCCATGCCAGGTACACAGTAGGTCCCCTAGGGGTGCTGATATCTGAACTGAGGCCTGTGCCATATACCTTGCTGGGAAGACTGGTTGAGATATCTTTGCTAGGATGAAAGGATATAAAAGTCATCTTTGAACAGTGTTCTTTGTCTTATGACCTTGCATTCAGATCATGACCAGTAGTCACGATAAAAGGAATAGCTGCCATTTCCTTATGGCTTACATGCCAGTCATGAGAATCCCTTAGAGCTCTGCAGTTAGCTAATCAGCTAGCCAAGCTTATGCTTTTAAGGTACAGAAGTTAGACCCAGAGGCCATGAGCAGAGAGCCTGAAGTCAAGTGAGCTTGGGACTAGAAAACTGCAGTGGCCAACACAGGCAGCCATATGGAAGGCCACACTCAGAGTGTCACTAAACCTTGAGCTGAATGCCCTTGGGGTCTGGGTGAGAGCTTCTCTCTGCAGAACACATCTTTCACAGGATAACCAACTATGCCACTCTGGCTATTTAGAATCAGGAGAAAGTTTTGATTTCCCTGCAAATGCAGCTCAAATGCCTGAAGGCTTGCTTAGGAGCCTGTTCAGAGTGGATACAGCCATAGTGCTATTGGAAGGACAGCTTGGAACAACATACCTAGGGGCCAGAGAGGCAGTGTTTGGGTCATAAAAAGGCCAGCTTGTTTGTCTTCCTTCCCCAGTGTCAGTGATTGCAACTTCAGGAACTGCTTATCTGACTGCCCCGCTCCTCCCTGGTCTTAGAGAGGCTCTTTCCTAGAGAGGATTGGCTTCAGTCCTTCATGCCACTCTTTTAGGTTTTATATCATTTTCCTAAAAGAAAAATCTACATTTGAGAGGGAACCAGGAAATGGTGGTTCTAGACGTACAATATTTGAGTTCACAAACTGTGTGGTTTCAAGCAAAGTATTTCACTGCTCTGTGTCTCAATTTCTTCAATATTAAATTAAGATACCAAGGGCTAGAGAAGAGAGAGGGCTCAGTGTTTAAAAGCATGTCCAGTCTCCCAGAGGGCCTAGGTTTGATTCCCGGCACCTACATGGTGGCTAACAACTATCTACAACTCCAGTTCCAGGGGATCCAACACCCTCTTCTTGCCCTCATGAGCATTGTATGCATGTGATACATTCATATACATGCAGGCAAAACACTCAAACACATACAATAAAAATATATTTAAAAAAAGAAACAAACTTGGTGGCACACACATTTTGCACTGGACAGGCAGAGGCAGGCAGATCTCTGTGAGGTCAGCTTGATCTACATAGCAAGTTCTAGGCCAATTGGAGTTACAGGGAAACCCTGTCTCAAAAGAAAAAAGAAAAGAAAAGAAAGAAAATGATACCATTGTACTATCTGTGAGAATAATTAAGTGAACTGATTCATATAAAACACTTAGAACAGTTCTGGAAACATAGGGGCCATTTAATAAATGTCATTAATGTTATTAATTAAATGTTAACCTGATACTGACATTTTGAAGATGATGGTGGTGGTGGCGGCGGCGGCAGCCCTAAAAGCATCAGAGCTAGGAACTCAGGCTAGCTCTTGACAAACAGGCCAGTAAAGAAGAGGCTTTCTGATCACTGTAACATAGCCTGGGGCTGTCATGCCCACAACATTCTGTAAACCACAGAAAGGGGCTGAGAACACAAAATCAAATAATTCTTTTCTAATGAGGCTTCCACAGATATTTGGTAGAAAGCACCTAAGATCTGGATCATTTTTCAATCTTATCTTTGTTCCTCTGTCTTTTCTTCCCCCTTATGAGAATGGATTTGTTCTCTGTACCCTGCCTAGAACACCCTGGTCTCCTTCTTATGATTCCATTAATTATGCATTTGATATCAGCAGGAACAGCCTCTGTCGCTGAACACAGCTGTCTCTGTCCGGAGCAGGGGCAGGTGAAAGGAGATTAGCCCTGATCTCTCTTCTGAACTGTGGTTTTTGTGATTCAAAGGGCAAGAAGCTCTGTGAGTTCCACTCTGCGGGTGCCAAAGCCTAGGCATTATAGAAATGGTGCTTTCTGCTGGGAGCTAAGATCAACAGCACCCCTGAGTCCCACTTTGGATGCTGAGCCTTGGTGCTCATGGCTGTTTGCAAGGCCGCTGAGACCAGGGGAAGAGTTGGAATTCACTTGCTTATGCTGAAAGTCCGGGTAATTACATCATGCTTTGGGGGTTCAGAGGTAAAGCAAAATATTGTTGCTATGCCTTGAATATTCCTCCCACATTCACATGCTGACAACTTAGTCCCTAGTGCATTCCTGTGTTGACAGGGGGGACCTTTAAGAGGTGATTAGATCATGAGGGCTTTGCAGCCAGAAGACCCTCACCAGATAGGAGCCCCTCAACCTTGGTCTTCCCAGTCTCCAGAACTATGAGGCATAATTTTCTGCTCTTTTTAATTTGTCCAGTTGTGAGTATGCTATCACAGCAACAGAAGATGGAATGAGATGACTGCCTTTTCTCAATCCTCCTGGGGTCTTGATAGAAGACGTTGAAGTCCATCTTCTGCCATATACACTTTTAAATATTTCATTATTTTTATTTTATGTGTATGAGTGTATTGCCTGCATGTTTGCTAGTGCACCGAGGCCTGCAGTGCTCATGGAGGTCAGAAAGAAGCATTGGATCCTGGAACTGGAGTTATGGATAGTGTTAGCTGCCATTTGGGTGCTGAGAATCGAACCTGGGTCCTCTGCAAGAGCAGCCATTGCTCTTAACCGCCGAGCCATCTCTCCAGTTCATGGCATACAAACTTTCAAAGACAGAAATCAGCCTTTATTGGGCATCTATCTTCCTAGGGCATTTCAAACCTCAGAATAACCCTAGTAGGTTTTGGTATACCCATTTCACTTGCCAGTAAACTGAGCTTCACAGAAGTATCAGACTTTTCTCCTGATAAGTACAGCTATAGGGATTCAGCAGCAAGTCTGTCTGTAAAACCCAGGGGCCTCCCGCTCTTCTGCACTGTCACTTAGAATGAGTGCCATTGAGTTCTAGAAGGTGCTTCAGTTAACTCCAGAAACACTGTCTGCCCTGGCTGGCTCACAGCACTGGACTGGAGATCTCTAAGATGATGGCTATCAGAGCAGGCTGTCCATGGTGGAGTCTGATTGGCTCTGGAATCCTGGGTCAGACTTGGCTCTTGGAAAACTTTTGGCCATAGGCAGCTCTCTGTACTAAGACTGGTTTCTATATTTGGTTCTGTGTCTAATCTGTGCTTGGAGGAATGTTTGGATGAGCTTCCAGCAGCAGCCCAGCATGGGATCCCCTATGAACCTATACTGAACCTGTGAAATGAAAGACTTCCAGAACATTCCTAGCCATTAGTAAGGGTTTGTAAGCCAATACAATCTTCTTAATGGAAATATAACCAATGACCAGGATTGGGGTGGGGGGTGACACACACAAAGGGAGCAGTCATGGAAGCCATTGCTGTACCTCAGACTTATGATGGATACCAACCATCCATTGCCTTCAGGAATACTGGCACAGGCATAGGCTCATTTCCCCAGACCTACCTGACTCAGCTTTGGGGCTCCAGATGTCCTCTGGTCTGATGGTCTCAGCCTGAGTCCTCACCCAGAGTCTGTCACACCCAAGATCATCAGCATCCCAGAAAGGCTACAGCACCATGATTGTACCGCAGAGAATGAGGTGCTGACTGAATTTCTGTAGCACTGTGGGCTGGGGGCCTTTTATTTTCATTGAGATTTGGGGTCATGAAAAACATCAGATGAGCCAGTGGAAACCTTAACCAATCAGAAGGATAAATGGAAATAAGAAAGACAAAAGTGGGATGTTTACAGACACAAGTCTTATTACCAACATCAGTGTAAGGCCTACCAAAACTGCGAAACTACCAGAAGAACACATAAGGGGAAATAGTTTGTGGCACTGGGCTGAGTAATGATTTTTAAACAAGAACTTAAAAGTACAGGCAACCAAATACAAACTAAACAAATGGGATTCTATCAAACTAAAAGCTTGTTACTGCAAAGGAAATTATCAACAGGATGAAGATAGAGCCTACATGGTGAGACAAACCTTTGCAAATCTTATACCTGATAAGGAGTTAGCATCCAGAATATATATGTAACTTGTGGATGGGTAGATAGCTCAAGGACAGAGCCTTTACCTAGCATGCTCAAAAGCTCTGGGTTCAATCCCAGCACCACAGAAGTACAGTGTGTGTGGTGTTGAAATACTTAAACAATAATGACAACAAACAAGTAATCTCAAAAAAAAAAAATGGGCAAAGAACCCAATCTCAATAGCTTCAAGTAGCTAACGAATATATGAAAAAGTTCATTAACACCAATTATCTGAGAAATGGACATCCAAACCCTAATGGGATATTTCCTCACTCCAGTTAGAATGGCTATCATGCAAAAGTCAAAAGGTAAGCCCAGGGGAGGGTGTGTAAAGAGGATAGTCTTCAAACACTGTTGATGGGAATGTAAATCGGTGTAGCCACTGTTGAAAAGAATATGGAGAACCCTGAAGAACTAAAAATAGAAGTACCACACGACTCTGCAGTCCCACAACTGAGCTTGTGCTCAAAGAACAAGAAATCAGTGCCAAAGAGACATCTGCGTATCCATGTTCATTACCACGCTGTTCATAATACCCAAGACGTGGAATCAGTCTGTGTCCAACAACAGAGCGATGCTTGAAGAATTATTGTAGTATTCCCAATGGAATACTACTCAGCCATAAAAGGTGAAATTCTGGGGCTGGAGAGACAGCTCAGTGGTTAAGAGCACTGACTGCTCTTGCAGAGGACCTGGGTTCAATTCCCAGCACCCACATAGTGGCTACAAACCATCCTTAACTCCAGTCTAGGGGAATCTGCTCTCTTCTGACCTCTGCTGCATTGCACGACACAGGTGCACTCACATACATGCAGGCAATACACTCATACACATGGAATAAAAATAATATTTTTGAAACGGTGAAATCCTGTCTTGTGCTTTACCACACATTAAGTGAAATAACACCAGTTATCTGAGAAATGCACAGGTGCAGAAGCTCAAATACTGTGTGTGCTCATTTCTGTGTGGAATCTATGAAAGTCAGTGTTGTGGAAGTGATGCGTAGAACGACAGTTATGAGAGGCTGGAGGGAAGAGGGCAGATGGGAGAGACTGGTCAGTGCATACAAAGCTAGAGCTGTATGGGAAGACTGCATTCTGGCGTCCTTCACAGTGAGAAGACTGCAGTCAGTAAATATATACATGCATGCCCGGAAGAGAGAGTTTTGGATATTTTACCACAAAGAAATGATAACTGGATAGGTGGTAGATATGCTAATTGCCCTGATGTGATTATTATGCAAAGTATACATGTATCTAAACTTCACTGTCTAGCCTGTGAATCTGCCCAATGATGATGTGTTAATTAAATTTAAAACTTCCTTTCAGAGAAACAAAGCTCCAGAGTAAGATCAAGTTAGTTTCAAATGCCACATTCACCATTTGGAGGAAGCTATTCTATCTCTCTTAACCTCAGCATTTCATGTCTAAACGTGAAGAAAAATATTACAAATCTCTTTGCTTCTTGCCAGAAGTGGGGAGGTTGATAAAAATGCATGTAAAGTGGGATGTTCTCTCATGAACTCATTTCAGAAGTATTTTTCTGTGACACATGGGAAGTCAGACATGTAAATAAAGATTGTGTAAACCCAGTAAGAAAATCAAGTACTTGCCTTGATGACCTTTACATTCAGCAGTGGAGCTAGAAACTAAATTTCTTGTTTTAAAATCTGTTGTAAGTGCTGTGAACAGGGTGTAATGGGGATGAATAACAAGAAAATCCACTTTAGTTTGTAGGAACGTGGAAGGCTTCCACAGGAATTGATGTCTAAACTGGTATTGTATCTAGCTGGAGTTTGCTGGGTCCGAGTTCCTCACTTAGTCCTTAAAACTACACCCTTTGGGTCCCATTATCCTCATTTTCCAGGTGAAGAAACTAGGACTCAGAGAGGTAAGGTCGCATGTCCAAGACAGTGGAGCTGGTAGTTGGATTGGAACCCTGGTAGACATCCTGACAGTATCTATGTAAACAAACAGTACAAAACAAAACCTGCCTATATCCCGTGGCTCAGTGAATCCAGTTCTAAGAATGTATACTATAGATGGGGTTCTCATATAGAAAGATGTTTGAATAAGGCTGTCGATTACCATGTTGCTGCTGGAAGAAACTGGAGCCAAGCTGAATGTCTATAAGTAAGAAATTGGTTAAATGTAAGATCATCCTTAGAATACTATACAGCAAGAATGAAGCATGTCTCTGTTGCTAAAAGAAGGTCATTTACAAGATAGATTGTTAAAGTGCAGAGAACAACAGACAGTTTTTAAAAGATGCCCATACATGTATTTGTTCATACATAAAAGTTCTCTGAGAGCATACCTTGAAACTGGTACCATTTTCTTCTGAGGAATTAGGCAAGGGGAAGGTAGGATAGAAAATGACTGTATTATTTAACCTTTTGCTATCATTCAGCTTTAAAACCTATATGTATGTTACTTTTATAACTTTTTTGAGTTTATTAAAAATAACTAAATTCTTTTGTCCACTAGTATTATGACCTTGGCTGGTCATTGAACACATCTGGTCCTTACTGTTTCTTGCTTTACAATAAGGAAGTCTAGCTCTTGGAAAAATGGAGCCCTGGGCCTACTGCTCTGACACCGGATCCCCAGGCCCATGGAAGGTATAACTCTGCAGCAGTCATGACCTTGGCGATGGTGGCTGTCTGCAACCTGTGATGGACTTCCTTGAGTTGAAGATGACCATCTCAATGGCAGGGCGGCCTCCCTGCTGTTGCTGCCTGGCCTCTTACCACACAGTTTTGAAAGGCTCAGCAAAGCTCTACCCTCTCTGTTCACTGTAGGGCTTTTGCATCTTGCAACAGCTGTCTTTGAGCATCCGTGTCACTAGGCTAGGCTCTACTTCAGTACCAGTGGAGTCCCTCAGATAATAGAAGGAAAACAGCAGTGAGCCTAACACGTGCTTTAGAGACCTGATTGCGGTTCATGGCCTGTAAACACATCATCTCATGTTGCCTTTACTGTAACCCTCTGCAGTGAGTAGAGTCACCCCAACTTTGCAGCCAGGTTCTCCGAGGCTCAATAGCACCCATCTAGACCAACAGCTCTCTGGTCTGTGATCCATATCAATACTGTCATCACTACACTCATCTTTCTGAGCACTTGCCATGGGTATGTGTTGAGTCTTTGGCCTGCTCTGTCTCACCAACAGCTGGGGAAGTGTGTTCCATCAGCAGCCCTTCACAATCAGCAGTAGTTGATCATATACATGTGAACATGATAGTAGCCAACAACATGTGAACAACATATGAACATACTGGGCCAGCTTTAAAAAGCCTCTGGATCACCCTCACCTAGAGTGCTTATCAGCATACATGTCTCTGGGCCTCACCCCAGAGGGTGTGATTCAGCAGATCTAGGCAGGGGCCAGAGGATTTGCATTTCTACCAAGTTCCCAGATGTTGTTGCTGCTGGTCCTGGAGCCAGGCTTTGAGACCATTGAACAAAGGAAAAAGCAAACAATGCTTTAAGACAGAATGGATTGCAGGCTCGCTCCAGAGCTTGTCAGATGAACCAGGGAGGATGCCCGCCCAGTGACACTCTGACTTCCCGACTGCCTTTTTCTTCTCCCACCTCTAATTTCAGGGAAGAAACCAGCTCATCAGAGCTCCCAATTGGAGTGAGTTATTTGTCTTTCAAAAAAAACCCAAAACAGAACAAGAAAAGTACCAGAAAACAAGAATCCAGCCCAGAAATTCTCCTCATCCAGCTCTTTTGTCAGAGTAGGGTCACGGTCAGTCACTGGAGAAATCCACCCATTGTCCTTGCTTTGGCCAGGATGCAAACTTCAGAGTCAGTGCCAGTTAGAAAATTGCAGAGCACACAATTAAACGCGTTCTGCCTCTGTCTTCTGCCATCTTCATAAATGATTCACATTACCCGGCATTTACTTTTCCTTCCCTCTTCAGACCCTCTCTGTGACTGCTCTCCTCTTTCGTTTACAGCTGTGGAACAATTATTTTCATCTGGCAGTGGCTTTTATCACTCAGGATTCTCTGCAGCTGGAGCAGTTCACGCATGCCAAATACAACAAAATCCTGAATAAGTAGGTTGCTTTCTTGGATGTCCTGAAGAGGGAGGGGTTCGTGAGATGTCCTGAAATGAAGCTTGAAGCAGGCATTTTTGTTCCTTCTAGGTACGGGGACATGAGACGGCTCATTGGCTTCTCCATCCGTGATATGTGGTACAAGCTTGGTGAGTAGACTCCCTGTTCCAGAAAGATGCATCTGCATGTGTCCAGTGTCTTCCTGAAGATCAGTCCCCAGCTATGCTTCCCAGCATGTGTGAATCTGCTTCTGTGTGATGCTCTCAACTGGCAATGAAGTCAAATAGGGATTTATGAGAGGGAGGAAGGGGCAGGGCTGCTGTGGGAATGACATCTTCGTGCATCACAGGAGTGCTTACTACTGGTTGGTGGTGAGCTATTTTGTATCCTGTATGTTATCTGATGTGATCCACAAAACATCTTCCATACTTCATAGGGGAAAACTGGATCTTTGGGACATGACCCCAGAAACTGCCCCCACCACAATGAGCTACAGTATTGATGTTACCAATGAAGGGAAGGCTAGAAACAGGGGGAACTTAATAGACCTTCTAAGTAAGGCCTATATTAAAGAGACCTTACTGAAACTTCTAATCCCATCCTTTAGAAACATTCTTCCCTCCTTTTATTGATCAGAAAACTCAGAAAGGAAGTAACTTGCTTGCACTCAAACAACCAGAAGTCCTGTCCTCATTCCATGAGGATAGGAGCCATTAATTTGCCTGTAGACTGAGTCCTGGTCTGTAAACGTGCTGCCCAGCTGGATGGCTGGAGTCTGGATGGGTGAGTGAATGGATAAAAATAAAGAGTAGGGACTTTCATTTGTAGCCTTTGACTTTCTCCTTGATTTTCTGGTGTGTAATTGGTCTGCCTGGGCTTGGCTGTTTGACCCTCTTCAGTAGAGTCATCTACAGAGACTGTACCTCTCATGGATTGAACCTTAATGACCCCTCTGAATTTTGCCCCTGCTTCCCCAGACCTCTTCATAGCTGTTGGTCCCCATCAGATTTTCTGGATGACAGTTACTTATGCTTTAATGTAAGACCTATCATCTGCTGGGCATGGGAGCACAGCACAGTGAGTAGATTATCAATCTGGTTTCTGTGGTTGCTAGTGACAGAAGATCCCATATTTGATGCCTGGGAGCTCATGGGTTTTCTCACAAAATCCGAAGCACAACAGAGGATCTAGGCCCAGAACAGAATATCATGTCTCTGGAGCATTGTTTTGGCCACGTAAAAGCTATGAAGCCTCAAGCAAGAGAATTTCACATCCCTGGTCATAAGTGAAGGAAATAAAACCTTCTCACAAGGCTCGGGTGAAGATCATAAGAGCAAAAATGGGGATGGATACAGCCATGGGGGCCAGCAGAACCTTACACAGGTCTTATCCCTATTTTCACACTGACCCATCAGGATGCACCTAATTCTGCTCTTCTGGCTCCTTTGTCATCAAACCTCTGCCCAGTGCACATCCCTAAGCCTCAAATAAGAGGGTCTAGATATAATCTGAGAGAGTGAAGGGGGAGGAAAGTTTAACCCACAGAGATTCTACAGAGCAGGTGCTGTCAACATTTGGGGTCATAGGAGCTGTTCTGGGTGCTGTGAGATATTGAGTCATCATCTTGGGCTGTGCCCACTAAGGTGCTGGTAGCACACTTTCTATCTGTAACTATTAAAAACATCTCCAGGTATTGATGCATTTCCCCTGGGAGTATTTCTCATTTTATCTTTTGTCTGTCTACTTTGTAGACAGACAGGAGTATCCGAAATGCTTTGTTTTAGTTATCATGGCTTAGTTTGCTTTTAGTAACTTTGACCAAAACACCTGGGAAAAAAACTTGGAAAATTGCTTGTCTTGATTTGTGGTTTCAGAGGTTTGTAGCCCATAGTCAGTCCTTGGTTCTGTGAATTCTAGGTCTGTGATGAGAGATAACATCATGGTGACAGGTGCATATGGCAGAGTCTACTCAATTCATAGTGGACAGGAAGTGGATGGGGTTGGGGTGGCAAAATAAATACTGTTCTCCTCCCTGCAAGAACACAAAGCCAGAGGCCTGCTTCCTCCAGTAGGGCCCTTCATCTTACCATTTCCATCTCCTCCAAAAAACAGTTGATACCAGGTGGGAACCAAGTCCCTAATATCTGAGCTTGTGAGGCATTTCTTATTGAGACCTTGACACCATGGCTTTGCAATAAGGAAAGATAAAGGCACAAGTTCAGACATATATGAGGAGAAGCAGTGGTCCTGGAGCAGAGTGCAGCAGACATGCTCCCCAGAGAGCTGCACTGGCTGCTCCCAGCTGATTGCTAGCCAGTTGGAATGCACGCCTATCACTGCTACATCTTCTGATTTTCCAAAGCCAGAAGCCTGGATCTTTTCATGCATTTTCCAATGTATGAACGTTAATGATGATTCACTGAAAGTTTTCAAAACATTGCCTGCTCCCAAGGAACGAATGGGGCCCAGATTCAGTTTGCTTTCCCACTTGCATACTGTGCTTCTAATAACAGAGGCTAGCCAAAGCTGTGGTGAGCCCCATTCTCAGCTCTGCATCCTGGACTCTGCCACACTGCAAAACAGGGAGCTGTTCTTTGTCTCAAATGTCCCCACACAGCCTGCTCTTTTCTGAGTGTCCTTCATTACATTGTTTTGCCAGTAGAAGATTTTATTTAGATATAGATTATGTTTTGGCAAGCATTCCTGTACTCCCAATTATGCTGACGAATGAAAAGATGTTACCAAATATTCCACCTGCTTAGAATCACAGACCAGCAGAGCTGGAAGGGCCCTTTAGAGATCATATTGTCCAGCATTTTTTCAAACATTTATTTTTAGCTGAGGACCAATAAAAAAAAATCCTGCTCAATAAGTAAATCAGATGAAAGGAGAACTATTCTAATTGAAATAAGCAGGGGCCCAGAGCCTGTTATAAGTGACTTCCCTGAGCTCCCAACGTAGGCCACTGAGAATAATTGGAAAGGGTGTTTATCTGGCCAACCTCTTGTTTTACCAATGAGGAAACTGAGGTTCAGGAGGAGAAAATGTTTGTACATAGTCATTTAGTGGATTAATGGTGGAAACCAAACGAACACATCACAGACTTCACTGCTGCTCAGGATACCTTCAAGATGAATTAATATAATAAATAGACCTATGAGGATTAACAGAAAAGAGCCCTGCTCAAATGTGGCTACCCTCAGGGATGGTGTTTTCTGGGTTGGCTAGGAGTTTTTGAAGAGTCATCATAAAGAACAGCGGTCAGGGGCCCCTCTAAGAACCAGGGCCAGAGCCAGTAGTGTTGCCTCTGGCATTACCATTTGGACACTCTATTCCTGCATCACTCTACTGAAGACCCCACCTCCAGAGAGTGCCATTCCTTTGCCCTCTCGCTCAGATGAAAGATGTCCACTACAGAACACAAAAAGTAAAAAGAAGCATTGCCAAAAGGACCTCTTGGCCAGACTCCTGAGGGAGAAGAAGGTCCATTGGTCTGATGTGGTCCTCCTGCCTCCCCTAGCCTTATACTCATTACTGACACACTGCCTTCTCCTTTCTTGTCTCCTTCAGGAAGAAAAGCAGAAAACTGAGACAGAGAGGATGAGTGGTTGCCTCATTGGCTACCCTGTTGCTATGTGCTAATGTTAGCACAGTCATGAGATTAGCTTGATGACCAAGCTCTGAGTTCATTAGGGACTGATGTAGTAAGACCGCTGTATGGCGAATGGTAAGCTTTAAAGAGCAGCTCATGGAATAGCTGAGCTATCTGGAGCAGCATTTGATGATTACCCATGCAGAGCTATTCTCTTCTTCCTAGCCAATTGGACCCTACTTAATATTTTCAGGATTGCACTTGGCTGAGCTAGTGATATCTTGGAGTAAACGGTGGCCATGTGACCTAGGTCTGTCATACTGATATGCTTGTGGGGATTCAGAAAAGTATCTCTTCACAATCTCTTCACAGTGACAGAGAGAGAGAGAGAGAGAGAGAGAGAGAGAGAGAGAG